GGGGGGGGAGGGCGCTGAAGGCGGCTGAGCACGGCCGAGCGCGAGTCGTCTCGAGAGCTGGCTGGAGGCGCCACCGGGTGTCTTGTCCCCGTATCTAGCGCCGCCGGCCAGCTGCAGAGACTCGTCTGGGACGGAGGCGCCGTCCGAGGCGCCGGCGGCGGAGGCGACGTCGGAGGCGACCGAAGGCGCGTCCTCGCCGAAGCCGAAGGGGAGGGGGAGGGGGACGGGGCCCTCGGTGGAGAGCAGCACGCCGGACGCGACCTGTTCCGCACCGCTGGCCGTGAGAGGGCAGCCGTGTCGTGGCCGTCGAGAGCAGCGCCGCAGAGAGGACCAGCGAGGCGACGAGCGACTCGGTGGGGCCGTCGTCGACGGGGGCCTGCGGAGGGGGGAGCTTCCGAGAGGCTTCCGAGAGCCGAGCTGCCGGCGGCTGTCTCAGGGTCGAGGGGGGGGGGGCGAGCCGAGGAATCAGCCGACCCGCCCTCGCCCTGCGCCGCGCCGCTCTCGCCAATCTCCTCGGCGACGCTGTCGGCCTCGCCGCCCTCCTCGCCGCCGCCCTCGCCCGCAATCTCCTCGTCGATCTCGTCGATCTCGTCGATCTCGTCGATCTCGTCCTCCGCCCCGCCAGCCTCCTCCTCCACCGACCCGCCGACAGACGCGGCCGCCGCACCGCCAACGCCGCCAGATCCAAAGCCGGAAAGGTCGGGCGGCAGCATCGCAGCCTCCTCCTGCTGCGCCGCCGCCGCGCTCGCCGCAGCGGCGTTCGCCGCCGCCTCCGCGTCCCTCCGCGCCGCCGCCGCGCGATCCGCCGCCGCGGCGGTGGCCGCCGCTGCCGCCTCGGCCGCCTCAAAGGCCGCGGCCGACGCGGCGTACTGCTGCGCGACCGCCGTCGCCCGCGCCGCCGTGTCCACGGCGGGACGGCGAGGCGACGAGGCGGCCGAAGCGGCGGCCGAGGCGGTGACGGAGCTTGCGGCGGTGGCGGCGGCCGAGGAGACGGCGGAGAGGCTCGTTGGCTCTGGCGACTCTGCGACG